GGTCATTTCTTCATATGAGTATTTCCATCGAATAGAAAATAAAAAATCCTGTCCGTTATGGACATTTCATCTTTTTTTTTTTAACATTCTAATGGAGAACGGTTGACGAATATGAAATTTAAAATGGCCATAATAAAAATGCATCCTCTCTCTAATCTCTAAGTAATACCAAGAGAGTTTTATCATTTAACTAATCAACTCTTATTCTTATCACAGAAATCAGAAGAGAATTATTGTCTAGTTTTCAGGCAACAAATCAAATTAAACAATCTCTAAAACAGAGATGCTCATGTGATATTTTTCAGCACCCCATGGGGCCCATGGGCTTTCCATGCGCAGGGTTCCCCACAAGCCAATTTTTATAAAACCACTTTCCCCATCTATGGGGAGTCTGGGTTTTTGAACTTCAGCTCACCCCCGACCATGGGCGCCCTTCGCCCCACCCATAGGGCGAACAGAAAAGATAATTCATTCAAATTATATATGACAGAATTTCTTGATCTGTTTTCTGTGACTTTTTAAATTGACTTTTTTAAGAACAAATCTATTTAGTAAGTTGTTTATAGTGAAATTTCAATTATCAAGTGTAGATTCAAATCACTAATCGAAAATCTACAGACTGCAGACGTTTGACATCAATAATTTATATTCTAGTGGCGCCTCTAATACGATTTTCTAGCAATTTCTATAATAAAAGATAACTTTTCTGCTTTTACATTTTATCCATAAAAAACCATTTTACTGGCGGTTAGAAAATTGAATAAAAATACTTCAGAAATCAATATTAAAAAAACATATAATATACAATTCGATGCATCTTCATCTCCTGATTTTAATAGTGAAAACTGCAGTTCTCTACCTTCTTTTTATCAAAAGTTATTTAAAAGAAAATACTTGCTAGCATTCATGTTGTTGTAATACATGTGAACAAAATAGATCTTATCGAAATTTTATTATTATAATATTAGTTGAAGTATAATCATATACTATAGAAATATGGAGCATTCTTTTCTCTATCAAACTATATAGAGAGAAAGTTTCTTAAAACGTGTTATAGCGAATTACAGAACTTGCACCACTACTTTTGGTATACTCTAAGTATGTCACTGATGGAAAGATGAACACAGAAAGTAAAGAGAAGAAGTAATGGCGGCTGGAAAAATGAAAGAAATAGTGAAGGTAACTATAAAATTATAGAAAGAAAACGAAAAAGTGAAACGTCGTTTTCATATTATTACTTGAATACGAAAGAAAAACAACGAAAAACAAAAGAGAAAATATATAGGAAGAACGTGTAACATTCTGTATTATTTGTACGACGATAAGACAATTTTTACAATCTCGTCATCCATTTTTTTCAAACGATTTCATAAATGATAAAAGTTCATTTAGACCATGGGGTTAAAAGACTGTTCACCCCATGGTCCACCCCATGGGTAGGGAAATGAATTTGCGAAAATCCACCATTGTGGGGAAAGGTGATGGGGTAACATATCGCCCTACCCTCATTTGGGGCGTCACCCCATGGGTTCTCCATGGGCCCCGACCATCTGGATGCCCCGACGAGCATCTCTGTTAGTCACCGCCATCGAGAGAAAGTCCTCAAATGTAAGTCTCAGTTTTGAATGGGATACATATATACCAATTTGTAGAGCTCGATGAACTGCTTCTCGTAGTATGTTTTATTTTTCTTCATCGAACTTCAAATGAGGAAAAACTAATCGATTTTACTAGTGAATTTCTTCACTTTGGTTAAGTTTCAAGACAATTGTTAGAAATTTAGGACTTCGAGGGTACCTAAAGTGTAAAAGGTCATATTAAAATATAGATAATTTCGCATGCAATAATCTATTCTATATTATTTTAAAAGAATAGGAGAACAGTATTCCCTTGTAAAACTCAATGCCACCATTGCTATGAATATAAATTGTAGAATTATTACACTTGAAGATATTTTAGTGGTACTCAGAGAAAACATTGTTATGTGTCCAGAAGTTGAAGCTTAACTTGTGCAATCACTATATAACAAATGAGCCAAAGATAATTCTTTTTGTTCTATTGTCATACACCCATGACAGGCATTTCTTATTTTCTCGTTCTCTCTAGTATATTCTACTTGATTATCTCTCTCTCTCTCTCTCTTTTCTTCCTGTACTTTTCATCTCTTAAAATATTTCTATTATCTTCTAATATTTTCGAGTGCATTCTTTCTCTTTGTTTTGAGTTTGTATATATACATGGTATTTGGAAAAAGGTGCATGAAACAAGTTTTGATCAATATTCTTTCAACCTTGACTATTTCTTAACAATTGCTTCTCTATAACGAACGTTGTTAACACATGTAAACTTATACATGAAAAGGCATTAGAAAGGTCAAATGTTCATCTAACAAGTATCACAGAATAAGAAACATCGATAGCAACCAACCAGCTCGCTTCTGATTGAAAGCTCTATGAGGAAAAAACAGAATATACCATGATAAGCAGCTCGTCAAACTCTAAAAATTGATATATATCTCATTCAAAACTGAGACTCACACTTAGGCATCTTCCATCGTATAACTTTAGCTATTCACATTGTTATATAGAATATTAAAAACATAATATGGAATACTTCAAGAAGAAAATGATTCAAATAATGCAGTTTTCAAGAAAAATCCTTTACATTTAAAACAGTTCGGTAATGGTTAAAGTTACAATTTCTTCTGTAAATTAACATTTCTCAGCATGCATAAATGCTTTTGTTAATACATAAATATACAATCATTCCTTTTTTTTTACCAATAAATATTTTACAATCTGCACGAGAACATTGAATTCAAAAACATAATGAGCTAATTATACTTGTTCAAATTGTTGAATTGAAATTATTTTTGTTCGTTTTTAGATAGAACATATTATACAATCACCTACACAACAAATAATTTTTGTTTTAATTATCTATTCATGTGAAATAAATTAGCCTTTCATTAATTGTTGCATAGAAAACAGTTTAAATTAATTCCATTATGCAGATTTTATACATTTCAAATGCCTAAGAAAACTTATGGTCAATGTTTCGTATGTGATGATGTTGCAATTGGCTTAAATTTTGGTGTACCAACATGTATGCCATGTAAAGCTTTCTTTCGACGAAATGCAACTAAACTTGGTGTAAGTTAACTTTTGATAAAAAAATTATTTTTGAACTATGAAGTTTTTTATTCTTTAAAGACTCATGAATTTATATGTCAAAATGATGGTGATTGTATAATAACATATAAATATCGTCGTTCATGTAATTGCTGTCGTTTGGCAAAATGTTTTCGTGTTGGAATGAAAAAATCCTTAATTCTTTCTGATGAAAAACGTGAAGCTCGAAATGAACTTATAGCAATAAATCGTCTTAAACGTGGCCAAATATCTAAACCAGAATGTCTTACATGGGTTTGTATTTAATAAATATTGCAAATTAATAGATTAAGTTTAAATTCATAATAAAAAAGATATGTCGAAAAAGATATATATTTTGATAAACTATATCATATTATTAGATATTAGTTTTCGTTGAAATTATGTAATTAAAATCAATATGAATCACGAGAGATACGCTGCAATTAGTAAGAAATATAATTTTGTTTTTGGACAAAGTAAATTTTGAGACTGATGGTCGAATGTAGAACGTAAAGTCTGGAACATTTTTAATAGTGCTAAACTATAATCAGTATAATGATTAATTCTTTCATTCGATGCCATTTTGATTAATGAATTAGTTTAATACTTGTTTAGTAAGATTTTTATTTATCTACTGACAAATATCTTAGATAAAATTATTATAAGTTCGAAAAACTACATCATAATCTTAGTTAACTTATCATCATAGAAAGATTCCAGCAAAAAGTGTCAACAACATAAGTTATGCAATAAGTAGACGATCTTGAATCATTAAAATTAAAAATAATGTTACATGAAAGTTAGATAGAAGCAGGAAAATACTAGAGTTGTATCGCTGAACTACTGTTATTTCTCGTTTGACGAGTATTTTATTGTCTGATCGGTAATCAACCAATCGCTGATGCCTGTGCTATCGTTGCTCTGTTGCTATTCTCGAGCCTTATCGATACAGTGAGTAGCTTTTTACTGACGTCACTTCTTTACTTTTCTGTAGATACTATGTGAATCACTTATTCTTATGGATAATATCTAGAGAATACACGAAAATGTTCTCTTTGTATACTTTTAGTATTATTTTTTAAATATTTAAAATCTAGCTTCTTTTTAAACTACAAGATAGATTAGTTCGAAATAAATATTTTTTGTTATTAAAAGATGCAATCACCATCATTACTTCGCATGTCGTCAAGTTCAATCCAATATCTTTCTTCATCTGATCAAGTTCTTCTTGCTAATATCTTTCATGCATATGAAAATACTTGTATAGTAGCAAAAAACACTACT